CAGCATAAAATATATGAGACTCTAATATTCTTTAAGTTACCTTTTTCACTCATGGGGGTAGGATTCCCACTTGAAAAACTTAGATTTCTCCTTTTTCTTCAGAATTCCTAATGACCAATCTGCAAATAAATAAACTTTCTTTTGTACCACATGTGCAAGTGTGTGGAGAATTTTGCTAGTACATTTCCATTAATTTCTCTAGATCCATTGTCCATTCCTCTTTATCATCTGTGCCCCACCAGAGGGTGACCCTTCTGGCCCATATTATTTGGATTTCCTTGCCCTTTACTTTCCATTTGCCTAGAACAATTTGGTATTTGTCGGGTAGAAGAAGAAAGAGTTCTGGGTGCTTAGTCCTCCCTTAATCCCAGGAGCTTATTCTGGGTGCTTACTCCTCCCTGATCAACAACTATTATTTTTACTGCTTTCTCTAAAGTACTGTAGCTTATCCTTTCTCTTTGTTTATATGATTAGGGTGATGTGCTAGGTAGAATGATGGCCCCCTAAAGATGTCCATAAACTAATCCATGTGAATGGTAAATAACTTATGTGGTAAAAGGAACATTGCAGATATGAATTAAGAATCTGGAGATGAGGAGATTATCCTGGATTATACAGTCTCAATGTAATTAAAAGAGCCCACATAAGTGGGAGGCAAGAGTTCAGAGCTAGAGATGGGATGAAGGAAACATTTGAGCGATGCAGTGGCTTGCTTTGAATTTGGAAGAAAGGTTTTGGCTGAGGAATACAGAGACCTATAGGACGTGGAAAAAAAAAAAAAAGAAAAAAGAAAGCTCTGGGGGAAAAATTGCAGCCCTGCCTGCATCTTGACTGTATCCAGTGAGACTTTCAACCTTCAGATATGATAATTTGTATTGGTCTAAGGCAAAATACTAATGAAAATTTAGTACAGTAGCCATAAGGAAATTAGCTCAGGTGACGATGGCTTTCCAGTATTGGTAGGCACATAATACTGTACCATCCTTTTACTGGTGGACCTTAACCTGACCTACATTGTCACGAGTAATCCCCTCATTCATTGTTCTTCAATATCTTCTGGAATGTACCACCTGATTTCTGCCAGGATTCTAATATGCATATGCATTTTGGTGTAGCAAAGCCTATATTTAGGGATGAATCTGTGGTAGCTATAGTTTCTGACAAAGACATTTACTGTAGCATTATTTATAACAACAAAAATAAGAAATAAAGCAGATTTTTAGAAGCAAAAGACTGGTTACCTAAATTATGGTAGAGCTGTATATTATAATAATAGACTTCTGGAAAATGTTTATGTTACATAGATTCATACAATTTGTGTAAAAATTAATCTACAAATCAGATATGTCCATATCCGTATCTATATTTGATTATATCTACCTATTTTATCTATCTGTTTAATATGTAGAGAAGAAAAAATGTTATATGATAGTTTTAGTGCTTAACTTTTGCTGATGGATTGACTAATATTTCTTCCTTGTATTTTTTTTCACATTTTATAAGTTTCTCACAAGTTTTTCATAGTAGTCATAAAGGAAACATTAAGAAAGTTATAGGACCTCTTCAAATATGGCAGAATGTTTTGCATTATATAAGAAACACTTTTCTGGTTTCACTTATGGTTAATGTAGTGCTTTCTTCCACCTAAAGCTATTATGTGCAGCCCCATTATAGTTACATGTATTTATTTTTGTATTTTATCATATCACAAACACTTTAAAGCAAAGAAGGCTTGAAATTGTTCTCTTTCTGCATCCACAGTGCCTTATTTGGAGCCCATGGTATGTTTACTGAAAGCTTTCTCTTGAATTAAATTTATAGGTGCTTAATCAAAATTTCTTTGATAAAGGACTTAACTCCAGACCCGTAATATGTACAAATAACAGAAAAAAAAATTGTGGGGCACATTTATTCAGCAGAGAGGCAGAATATAAACAGCCTGATTTAAAATGCAAATGGGCAGTGAATTATTTATATCATATTCTTGTCACAGCATTGTTCATTTAAAATTTGTTTACTAAGAGGATTGTACAAATGTTAAATACTCAGATGAGGTAAACATTAGGACTAGGCCACTCAAAAATCACATCAAATATTGAAAAAGAAAAAATAAAATGCATATTGTAATTCAGTAAAACCAGAAAAACCTCATGGACCAGGTACAGACTGTTGAGTCTATTGAGTAGGAAAAGAGACTCTAGGAATAGGACATATTTTTACAGAAGATCTTCTAGGTTGTCCCCTTTCTCTTACACATTTGACTCCAATCCACAATGACAAAGCATTAGAGATAGCAGGGTTTTTTTTTTGCATAATCCCTAAAGATCACATCATTTGGTTCATTTAATTAGACCTTCATCACAGACAAATGTTATTGCAACTAACAGAATAATATTGAGACCAAAAAAGGGATGAGGGCCATTCAATGAATCTACACTCAGCCAAAAATGAGGCATTAAATTAGACAGCAGGTAAAACCTAGGTGAAAACTATGTCTACATATCTAGAAAGTGAGAAATGGGTGTTTAAATCAGATATAGGAAACCACAAGGGGCCAAGAAATTGGCAGGTAGAGAACAGTTACAGTAGCTTTTCTAAAGAATTATTTTATTCTTGGGAGAATTTCAAAGGACTTCAGGAATCTACAACACTGTTGCTGAAGCAGGGATAATTAACTCCCTATATATCTGAGTTTCAGAAGGGAAATTCTTTGGGGTTATTTGAGCCTTAAAAATCACTAATCTGGGGGCTGGGTTTGTGGCTTAGTAGTAGAGCACTTGCCTAGCATGTGTGAGGCACTGGGTTTGATCCTCAGCACCACATAAAAATAAATAAGATAAAGGTATGTGTCCATCTACAAGTAAAAAAAAATCAATCAATAAAAATAAAACCTAATGTGATGTGGAACATTTTTTTTCAACAATTGTTGAAAACTTACAGTTTAAAATAAGAGTTGCAAGGCAAATCTTCCTTTAAAATGAAATGCCATGAGGCAGGGTCACCTTAAGGCACATCTGTGACCACTGCTTCATTCTTTCAGTGGGGTTGATTTGTTGGAGGAAGAAGGAGCTGGTCATTGGTGAGTGGACAATATTGGAAGAAGGGAGAGAGCATCTGTTAATTGTTACTTTATGGGGTGTCATTGTTACACCCAATTTATAGTTGGGAAAACAGAGATTCCTAAAGGCTGAGTTTGGGACCCCAACTTTGTCAAACATCAAACTCCCTATTCTTAACTGCATCAAAAATCTCAAGGCATGAGCCTGACCTTTACTAACTTCATCACATTTACACATTCCTTCTTCATCATATGCTCCAAATGCACCTTAAATCTTCTGAAGGCAACAGAATCACCATGTAAAACATCATCACATAGCTCACAATTAGAAAGGAAGTTAGGGAAATGAAACTAGAAAGGTCACAATCTTTAAGAAAAACAGTCCAACCAGACGAATGAGATGCTACCAGGATTAGAATGCAGCATTTTTATTGTAAAAGTCCACATTAGGCAATTCCTTTTGTGAAAAGGCTTTCAATTACAGAGACAGGGTGCAGCTGATAATTAAGAATTAGATTATATATACTATATATCCATGTTGCCAATACTATGCACACATTGGAAAGCTAGCTTTTTTTAGTGTCCCCATTACAGAACACGTTTCAAGTTGACAATAATAACATGTTTCTCACCATTGAAATTTGCCAACAACTCTCCCAAAGAGTCAACATTTAATATCTTGACGATTTAAAACAAGAAAATAATTCATTCTATTTACATTTGTTTGAGGTTAAATATGAGAGCACTGATATATTAAACGTTGCAAAATTGGCAGCTAAATGTATTTCAAGATTCATCCAGATGACTTTACATGGTTTTATATTCACAAAGTCTCTCTCTTCTTTCTACTTTTTTTCAGATTATCTATAAAGTTACACTAGCTATTATTAAACTCTGACTTAGAGCAATGATTGCATAAAGAAGAACCAACAAAAGGTACTATTTTAGAAAAATAAGGACTCAGGTAAGTATATAAATATAAGACTCAATTCATCACATTTGACGTCTGGGACAATCACTTCATTTCATTACAATATAGTCTCATGGGGCCACAATCATAGGCTCAATGACCTCCATGTGGGCCATTCATCTTTTCATTTGGTTTTTAGTTTAATCTCTGTATACTTTTTTCACAGAGCATAGAATTCTACATTCTGAATGACAGTCAGGTATGAATCTTGCTTTTGCCTTGCGTAAATTTGCAAATAGAATTTTCAAGGGGTCAGAATTGACTCACACCCAAACCTGGAAAAAAATAATATTATAAACTCTATGCCCTCTTAGTCATTTCTGTACACAAATATAGAACATAGATACTATTTTAAAAGGAGTGCAGACTTTACCTGAAACAAATTTTTGAAGATGAACGTACTAACCAAAGATCTTTGGATCCTCTGTGGTTATGTCTACAAAATCAAGCATCACTTGACAGTGCCAACATGAATGGATGAATCACTCGTTCCGGGGCAGCACGGAGAGATTCACCAGAAGTTTATGAAGGCAACACATCGCAAATCATATTTATTGAGCACTGACTGTATGTCAGATATTATGCAAGGTACTGAGGACCCAAAGAAGAAATGACAAGGATTCTGCCCACAAGGCACTAACAGTCACTAGAAGCAGATCTTGAGATGGAGAGTAAGTCTGCTATGATCTATCACCCTAACTGGAAGAAAAAATAGCGGCAAGCACATATGATTACTTTATAGCTTATTTGTGAAATTGGGCATATTTAGAGTTGGCAAATGTCAATTATTCAGCCTATATTTTACTCAAAGTGTTTTTTAATATGCCATACAAGAAATAAAAAAAACTGAGTCTTCATGCATGAGGGAGAAGGCAATGGAAATTCCTCCCTCCAATTCTAAACCCAAATCCTTATAATTACATTCATGATTCTCTTATAACTCAAAGACACAAAATAAAGGACAATACTTTATGATGATAACTTCAATCCATTTATTTTGGCTCTAAAGAGATGCATGCATTAAACTTGAAGCATTCTACATTATTGAAATATTTACATCATTGTACATGTGATGTGGAGGAAATTTTCTTCCTATCATGGAATGAAGGAATAAGAGATTTCTAGTCTAGGCTTGTGATTATTCTCAAATGAGGGAGTTCATTGTGTTCATTATGTCCAAATTTACCACAACTTGCCCCCAAGTGAACTTAGGATACGGTTTTGGACCTTGGTATCTAATTGTTTTATGAATCAAGTAAGGACTCTGGTCAATATAAACAGGAAGAGCTTTCACTATTTCAGTTGCTATAGATGAAAAATACCTTGCTTGTTTTCAATTCTTGCTCTAATTTTCCTTTGCCTTGCAGGTATGAAACACAGCAAACATTAAAGTTCAAATTATACTAACCAAAGGAGAGTTGGGCACAAACGATATGACATTGTACGATTTACCAGGTTAGGACATAGAAACAAATTCAGGTCATTATCAACCACACAGGGGATTTTTGAAGTGGACTTAGAAGAGACATCTTATTTCCATGAGATTCAGTGAATAAGATCCAGATCAATAAAACCCATACCTCCTCACAGGTAAAGATAAGAGACCCAATACACCAGATTGAACAAGCAGAAAGCCGTAGGGAAGAAGATGCGAGCATAGGAGTCCATCTTGGCGATGCGGATATGTATTCTCCCGTGTCTCCAGGCCCCTGTGCGGCAGTCTTCAAAGCAGCAGAAGAAGCTGGCACAGTCCTTGCCATCCAGACACTCGTACCCATACTCTTCATCCCTCTCTTGAAGGTGCGTGGCATTGTTCATTTGAATGGTAGCTGACCTTGGGCGGATATCAATGGTAGGGGCCTGAGACAAGGGTAGGGAAGGAGAGGAATCCAAGTTAGTTACACTTGAGAAATCCTGGACGATTTTTCCATAATGTCACCAATGTGATGATGAATCTGAAAATGGGTACTCAGGAAATTGCTATGACATCATGATCTACAATGGTAAAATTGAACTTAGAAAGAGAACACATTTGCATATTTCAAATTTTGAGCTTAAGCAGTGCAGCTGAAAATAATATCACCAAGCTAATAGCTAGAGCAAGAATATTGAACACCAAAAGAACTCAAATTTGAAGATCTAAATCAAACTACATGGAATCTTATTCTATTAATTATTAGATATGAGGTTGGTTACATGAAGGCTAATGGTATTGCATGTGAGTGAAACAGAGAAATAAAAATGCATCTATTTTGAAATCAAATTTTAGGTCATGCTTATTTATAAGGCAAATAGGAAATCGTTACACAGAGCAAATATATTAAATGATGTTAATAGAAAATGCTAATATATATGTAAAAATAGAAGTTTCCTGATTTTATGCCACAGAGGGATAGTTTATGTTTTTAGAGAACTTTGTGTGACATTCACCAGTTAGAAGCTTAAAATTATCAGCAATATTGACCTACATCTGAATGAAAATTAAAAAAAAAAAAAAAGACGTAACTGCCTGTTGAACGTTTAAGCATATGAGGAGGAACTAGTGCCAAATGACTACATGTTAATCTAACCTTTGCTGCAAGACCAATAATAAATTTGCTAAAGGACAAAAAGACTTATTTAATGTTAATTTGACTGACTTAGCTTTAGGATAATATAAACACAAATTCTAATGTGTCTAAATCAGATATTAGAGTTGAGTAGAAATCTCATTGCAGTATTTCTCAGAGCCAACAGCCCTGATAATTAACTACCCTAGAAAGAAAGTATCGATGTTTAAACTCAGCCTTTTAAAGGCAGTATTCTTCAAAAAAAAATCAAAAGTATAGTTAAGGAAAACACAGATTATATATTAAAAAACACAATATTTTAGATTCCATTCTTAAAACTAAGGTTTATAGAGTTAAACTTTACTTTTAAAAGAGTCTGTATGTGGTAAAAGTAGCCAGTAGAATTGGATCCCAAGTGCATCCAAGGAAAGAGGATCAGATTTGTTTTTGATGTGTAAAAAGACCTTCTTTACATATGACATCTCTCATAGGTCTGATAGCTTTTGAGCTTGATATAAGATCAAAACCTATGAGAATTAGTGAATAGTTGTAGAATCAACTCTAGAAATCTACAAATGTTTCTGTTATTTTTAGCAAAATGCTTAAATTTCTCCTTATAAAAACATAAATAAAACACCATGGAAGCGTTAATAGTTAAATTCAGCAGTGGCATGCAGTGAATTTCCATTCCAAAAACATTATACCTTGAAGGAAAACATCCGAAGAAGCTTTGGGTTTGTAGACAGAAAAGAGAATAGCATTTTTTTTTAATTAAAAGAAGGAAAGGGGAAAAGAAAAAAAAAGAGAGAGACAAAATAAGATAAATTAAAAATACATTTTGAAAACATAGTAAGTAAAAATGAACTGAAATTATAAACACAGAAGGAATCTTCTGAGCTTGGGATAAAGTATATGCCTAAAGTTGGAAAACAGAATTTTGTGATATTAGTGAAATTTTCAATAAATTAATCCAGTTATCTGACTGCAAATTCTAGTGTTGTTCAGCTGTGAGGAAACTTCCTGTTATCTAGTTTCCCCATATGGAAATACTATGTATTTATCTTCTCACTGTCACCAAGGAGACCTGATGTTAGTGTTGGTGAGTCCTGATACGATGAGCCAAGGGTATATCAAACAGAAGGATGAAATTTCGGCTGCTCACTCACCATGTAGCTTTGGTAAATTAACAAACTGGCTTAAAAGGAAAAAATGAATAAAATTACCTGTTTGTTTTCACTTTCTCAGGTTTTTAAATCCCCTGTCCTTTCTACCGTCTTTATTTCTTCTGTTATTTCCAAGACCCTGGTTAAAGGAATCCATCTGTGTCTAACTCAGCAACAAAATCCACTCTGAAGTGACACAGCTGATAGAGAAGGCCAAAGGACTTCTAAAGGGCTCTTCAGAATTCATGTGAGAGCCAGCCCTCCCATCCTTGTGACTCTGGCAGGTAATAATTCTGAGTGTCAATGGAACCATCCTCTTGGGGGACAATGAAATGGAAAGTGAAGGAGGGAGAACAGACAAAAACCAAAAAAAAAAAAAAACACAACACAACAAGGAAATTAAAATCAGGAGAGGAAAAAAAAATGTAAAAGTAGAGAGTAGCAAAACAGCTAGGGAAGGAAAGACTGCATAAAGCATAATAACATTTTGAAAATTAAAAATAAGCATTTCCATTTTTGCTAATCATCTAGAATAATGTTGCTTCTTTCTTTACCTGCTACGCAGTCTCATGGTCAAGTAAACATGAGCCAGTTGCATAAATTCACCTGAGTTTTGGAGATGCATCAAGCTATGACCTATTTCAGTCAGATTCCCTCATAATTTAGCTCCCAAAGTCCATGAGTCAGATAGCCACTGTCATGGCCCTGGAGGCCCTCAGAGCAGAGGACCAGGAGAGGCTGTAAGTCAAGGAGGCAAGGGCCATTACCTCTGCCCTCTCTTGGAAGGGAATGGACTTTAATTCAAGCTTCTAAGAGCCAGATACTGCACTCAAGTGGGTTACCTACCCCTAACAAAGCATAACATCCACAATAAAAGAGAATTGTTTAGGCATTCATAATTTTGTCTAATGTTTAGTGCAAGTGGAAATCATCCTACCTGTTTCCAAATCACATTGACACTGAAAGAAATTCAGGCTGGTAACTGTATAGACCATTAAGAGCATATATCATTACCAGCTACTAACAAAGGATTTTCATGCACTTTTTGGTAATGTTTTTGTATTTCATTTGTTTACTTCCATTACCGTATTTATTTTTCAGAGCAGCACCAGAAGATTTATTTTGAATAATATTAAATTTATCTTCTATATGAGAAAAGAAGAGAAAAATAAAAATATGGAGGCTTAGTAACTAGCCCACACAATAGTGAGATATTTGTTTTAAAAACAAAGAGATGCATATTAAGTATGCAATCAGTAGAAGTCCTCAGCGGGCAATGTACATGTGCATGCTCAGGTACACAGACACACACACACACACACACCACACACACACACACCACACCCATATACACACACGCACGTACGCGCACACACACATTTTTTGCAAAACTGTTATGAATCTTGAAACTTCAAACCCTGTGACTTCTTAGTGGAATACCTTGGATGAAAGTTTTAACTTAAAACATCAGTAATTTAAAAATATTAAAGTTGGGCAAAAACGTGAAAACCAATAAAACCTAGAGAGTAATACTAATTAGAAAATGGTATATTACTCAGAAATGGATTTAATCCTCACAAAATGAAGAAATCAAGTAATTACATTTGCATAAGGAGTCTAAGAGAATCAGGGCTCTCTCAAGTAACTAGTGGCCATAAATGGATCTATTTATGATCTGGTCAAATTCACACATTCTGTTTTCATCTTGAAGCCCAAAGTGCTGAGCCTTAGCATGCAGATAAGGTAACAGAACCAAACTAAGACAAAACCAGGTAAACTTCCTGTATAAACATTTCTATGGTACCAATAGGACATGATACATACAGGATTTTTCTTCTTTTTGTCTTTGTCCTTGCTTGGTTTCCTATTGCTGACAAAATAATGCAGGGTGCCATACTCCACCAATGCAGAGAAGACAAAGATGAAGCAAACAGACACAAAGAGATCCATTGCTGTGACATAGGAGACCTTGGGGAGAGATTTGCGTGCAATGGTGCTGAGGGTGGTCATTGTCAGGACAGTCGTGATACCTAAAAAGAGGCACAGTAGAATTGATGGTGTTATAGTATCAGTACATTGAGTAACTATGTTACCAAGGAGACTAAACTTGGTTTGTGTCTTCTGATAGACAACTTCAGTGGTGGGAAAGGAGATATAACTGAACTTAATCCACTCTCGCCATGAATATTATTATTATATTTTCACTATGCAACAATTATTGTGACAAATACTGAATATATACTCGAACATTTTCCAAGCAAACCAGCCCATTCCACTAGTTGTTTTGTGACAGGGAACAAAATTAAGACAACCTGCTGCAACAACCACAAAAAGGTGACAGTTTCCTCTATAAAACCTGTGTCGTGAGTGGAAAAGGTAACACAGCTTCAGCATTCAAGTTGTTTCTAGCTCTTTCTGTAGAAACTTAGTTCACCATCTTAACCATCCAGGTATTGATTTTCCCATCATTTGAACTAGCTCCTTGAAAGCCCACCTTAGATTTTATCATTCTAGGATTCTAATTCTGCATATCTTGTAGTGACTGGAAGTGTCTTTAGGTTTTTCTAAAATAGTAGCTCTGTGTCTTTATTTTCTCCGGTTTTATGATTTTTCTCATGGGGGAAGAAAACCCACAAAGATTCCATCATTTATTGATGGCAGATAACAGTTATTGCTGCCCAGGAGACTTCAGAGGAAAGATCAAACTTTGGAAGAGGAGAAGAGTGATCAAGCAAACTGTGACTATAAATGTCATAGCCCTGGTATTACACTGCTCTTGAGTATTTAATAATCCACTTTTTTTCCATTTTCTATATTCTGTGACAATGGATATATCTCTTGATGGCCATTGTAACCCCATAGTAGAGCATAGTGCTGGGATTCAATAAATACTTGTTGAATGAAAAATGTGACATAATGTATCAATAGATAATATATATGTGAAAGACTCAAGAGGCTCAGCCTACATTTGAGAATAGTAATTCATATTCACAAAATGTAGGAGATAGTCAAATTTCTTTGGCAAGGTGCTATGTCAAGTGCTTTATATATTATTCAAGAAAATCTTCCTAATTTCCTATGATGTGTCCTATAACTATTACCTTTTAATTCATAATTGAAAAACACAAAGCACAGGAAGAATAAACACTTGTCCAGGCTGGTAAGTGGTAGAGATGAGATACAAACCTGGGCAGCCTGACTTCAAATGCTATGTTTTGAACCACCACTGTTTCATTTCCATGAACAAATGGAAATATATGAATGATATGCAGCATGAAGCATCAAAGTGTTTGGAGCCTGTGTTAGTGAATAATTCTTGATTGAGGAATTATTATAGGCCTGGGGGTCTTTCATGCTGTTGTGGAGAAATCTTAGGAAAGTTCGAGTTTCTCATCTACCAGCAGAGGATGGAAGGTGGGGAAGCAGTGGGAAATTTCATGAAGCTTTGGTTAAAATTAAATTAAATAATGTGCATAAAACGTGATACAGTTTGGATCTGTAAAATGTCCTTCAAAGGGCCTGGGCTTGATTTTTCAGCTTGGCTCAACTGGAAGATGGTGGAACCTTTAGTAGGTAGGATCCAGAAGAATGAAGTTAGGTCATTGAGGATGTGCCCTTGAAGAGCATATTGGACCACTGCCCCTCGGTGTCTTCGTCATTGGTTCCTGGCTGCTGTGAGGTGAGCAGGCCTCCTCTGCCATGGACTCCTGCCAGGGTGTACTGCGCTGCCACAACCAGAGCACGGGCTCTAGTGACCAGGGACTAAAATAAACCTTTCCTCCTCCGAAGTTGATTTTTCTTGGGTATTTGTTACAGTGTTAGAAAGCTTATCAACACAGAGTAGCAATATTTCGTAAAGTCTCAGTAAATGTTCGGTAAATTAAAAAAAATTAATTTTTTTAAATTAAAATTAAATTTTTAAATTTAATTTAATTTAAAAAATTAAACTAAATTAAATTTAGTTTAATTTTTTTAAACTAAAAAAAAAATTAGTTAGGTTATCTATGCATTCATTAAAGTTGAAATGCTTGATTATACCCAATTACAGCTCATCTTTTTTGGTAGAAAACTTAAAAATTAAATTGGAGCCTTGGCCTTCATTTCATGATCAGGCCTCAAGCTACACTTGACTTATGAAAAGTGAAAACCTCCGTGTTTGTGGTAGATACCAAAGATGAGTTCATTTTAGAAAACCTGGTGTGTGACAGTTTAAGCAAAACAATTCCAACATGCAGATTAAACACTGATCTTGCGCATTTGGAAGATACTATTTAGGTTACATGGAAGTCAATCAATCACAACCATTTAAGGTATAGTTTGAAGAATCACCATATGATAGTTTTAGAGAGCCACCTGAAGCCACAGGAAAGAAAGTGGCTATGACATCAAGAATGAGAAGTGATGACAGAGTAGGTTTCGTCTATTCACTCACTAACAGTAAGAAAGCATTTAAAATCCAGTTTTGCTAAACAATGACATAATTCTCTTACTGGAGGTAGATGGAAAATACCCATAGGTTTTACCAAGTCTTCCAGTCTTGGCATGAAGTATCCTTCTCAGGAATGTTAGCCCAGCTCAGATTACTTTGGTAAAAAATACCAATTGGCATTTTCCTCTTTTTGTGCATCATCATTGAAACATAATCGAACCTCATCAGCTACCAGCTGTGTAGCTACAGTCAAGTGTTATAAGCTCCAGGATGACCATTCCTTGTGTTCTGATGGTCTAGGCACAGAGAATAGCACATGTCTCTGAGCAATGTGAGCGTATTTATCTCACTCAATAAAGAACTTGGCTCTGACTGTTCTTTGGCAATAAGGTTAAAGTTAGCAGGTGTTCATGCTCATCTCATTTAACTCTCTATGATGAACACAGGAAAAGATAATGGAACTCAATGAAATCTAGAGCAATGTTCTAAAAGGTGACTTCACATTAAAATCGACTAATTTTTTTTTTTAATCCTAAGCCCCAGGCCATGCCCTTGACAATTTAAATAAACATCTTTGGGGACTATATTAAAGAATCTTACTTTTTAAAAGTGGTCCTAGTTATATAAATATGTAATTGAGTTTAAAAAGCAGTGATCTAGATGAGTGAGACAGCAAAGTTAAAAGAGCGATATTGGCTCAGGCTGGCTTCTCGACTTTACCATGACCAGCCTTCAGCAAAGCTGCCCACCCAGAGCAAATCTATGTTCCATTAGCCAAGGTGCAATTTTATTACCTATTGGCTGTGTGACTTTATATAAGCTGTTTAACCTTGCAGCATCTTTACTTCCTTAGCTTAGCTCTAAAAACTTTTATGATAACTTGTGTTGTTATCATTGCAACTTCTTGCAGTTGTTTCAAAGAGTAACGAAGGAATAAAGATCATATTAAACATGATTGACATATTCAAAAATGATCAAGAAATAGGAGTATGTATCAGTAACTTGCTGAAAAATCTGGTCTCCATTTCTTAACTCACACATCTTCATTCCTTCTGCTAATAAGCCAATGAACACATTTCATGAATGGTTGAAATGATTTATCTAAGGGGCCATAAAAGGGATTTTGACCAACAAGAGCCTGGGTTTCAAGAGGAGAGATTGACTGAAATATTTAGCTTAAAATATATTGGGGAAGAGGGTAAGTTAGAATCTATCAATGTATTTGTCCCATCAATTCAATGAGATATACATTAATTGAATGATCATTGAGGTACCAGCTATGTGCCAGATAGTACACTGGAGACACATGACATTTACATTCTGATTTGCAATGACATGTAAACATGTCATGTAACACCTTCTACTCAGTGACAAGTATTAGTCCTAATGTATTAGGCTCAGTGTATTCTGAGTATGTGTCAGCATGAAGCATGAGACGAGATATTTGAATTGTTGAATAGGACTTGAAACAAAAAGTACTGCATATAACAGGAAAAATCAAAATAACTTCATTTCGAAACAGATGGGAAACTAAATTAGGTTTGGAAGAGGGCAGATATGCAAATGTTGTCTTTCTTCCCAGTAATCACTTCTGCCCTCAGTTTAATAACCTAGTACAGATCATTTTGTCAGAAAATGACTACATAGTAGCTATCATTTCTGAGTCTTCACCCTGTTCCATGTGCTTTGTGCATAGAATACCTTACATAACCCAAAGAGAACCTGCAAATTAGGAATTGGAAATGATGCATGTTTTACATGTGAGGAAACTGATGTAGAGATGGAAGGGCATTCCAAGGTTATATAGTGTGTGTGACTGAAAGTCCAGATTTGACTTCAAATCCCCAGTTCTTACTTATCACTTGATATCACTTCTTTAGCCAGGGAGTTGGCAAAAGCTGTGGTTCTAGGTTTCACGTAGATGATGAATGATGAGAGGGTATTGTGGTTTTATAATGACATTTCCCTTGCTATATACTTAGTTAAGTCTTTATAGTTTCATTCATAAACCCAGACTCCAATGCTCCTGTGGTTTTGTTTTGATTTAGTCTATTTAACACTTCTTCTCCAGGTGAAGAAAAAGACATGGAGAATCTAAGGTAAATATCATCATATATAATATTTGGAGAAAACTTCAAATAATCTTAAAATTGGTCTTTTGTCCAAAATTTCACAGATAAATGTGTTTTTCAAAAAAATAATCTGTTCAGTGGATCTTCTGTAAAGAGCCAATTACTTCTAATGTCATTGCAATCACTGTAAAATGAACACTATTTTTAAAACCATTATTTAAAAATAATTGTAGATAAACATTATTTTTTAAAAAAATGTACTAACTTTCCAAAAGATGAAACAAATGGACTTGTATATAATTGCTGGCTGAATTTTGAGCAAATAAAGAGTAAATAAAGATTTCTTGCGTTGTGTATTTATCTTGGGACATCATAACGTAAAGAAATGTAACTCACCTAAAGATGTTCTGGCTGGAACAGCATCCTTGTTGATCCAGAAGGATACCCAGGACAGGACCACGATAAGCGTGCAGGGTATGTAGGTCTGTATGGTGAAATACCCCATTCTTCTGCTCAGGTCAAAGTAGACAGTCATGACCACGTAGTCTCCTGGAGAGAAAAGGAGAGATAGAAGTACCTATATCAAAAGCTGGAAACATTTAAATATGAGCAGACTATCTAACTCTCCGGAACACATTTAAATGGAGAGGATTTTTAAAAATATTTTATTTATTGTAATTTGTTATATATGACAGCAGAAGGCAATTAAATCATATTACACAAATAGTGCACAATTTTTTCATGTCTCTGGTTGTACACAAAGGAGAGTCACACCATTCATGTTTTCATACATGTTCTGAGGGTAATGATATCTGTCTTTTTCTACTGCCTTTCCTACCTCTATACCCTCTCCTTTCCCCTCACTTCTCTTTGCCCTATCTAAAGTTCATCTATTCCTCCCATGCTGCCCCCCCCCCCCCCCCCCCCCCCCCCGCCAATTCCCATTATGAATCAGCATCCTTATATCAGAGAAAACATTCGGCATTTGTTTTATTGGGATTGGCTTATTTCACTTAACATTATATGAGGGCTATGTTGAAAACTCTCTTCTAAACACTGGGTTAAAAAAAAATACAGTGGAAATTTGGGAAATTAACCCTGATTCTTTTAGAAGCCAAGTTAGCTACTAGGTGGAAGAAAACATTTTAAGGGCATTGATCATATTTTCTTCTCTCAGATGACTTTTGGTTTTTAATCTTGTTATCACATTTGAAACACAATGTATAAAATTTTTGTTTACTTACTATTCTTGTTTTTATGCTTTGCCTGTCTTGCCTGCAATATGGTATGTTCTAAGTTTTGTAACCTTTTCCTGCCTTTCTTAGACTTTTATCTGCAAAAACCAGAGAGGAATATCTAGGTGCTTCACAATAACAAATGAATCTTTTACTCAGAATTTATAGCCAAATTCTTATGGTGAGACATTTTCCTCATATTTTTACTGAATCATATGATTTTTTATTAGAAATTATTTTAATTTGCAATTGTTCATTCACTCGGAAGGTGAATGTTGCAATACCTGTCTTTCCTATTGCATGGTACCTGAAAAAGTTCATTAAAAGTACCCATTTTAGGGGCTGGGATTGTGGCTCAGTGGTAGAGTGCTTGCCCGGCATGCACGAGGCACTGGGTTCGATCCTCAGCACCACATAAATGTAAAATAAAGATATTGTGTCCACCTAAAAAACTTTAAAAATAAATATTTTTTTTAAAAAAAGTACCCATTTTAGTTTACCATTGTACAATCTGTACTGGGCATCTTGCTTGACTCTAAACAGGTGCTCAGTAAAATTTGTTGGATAAATAAACAAATGAATGGATTCATTGATAAATTTAAAATTTAAAGAAGAAAATACAAAAAACATATCATGAAACTTTTGGGTTAAAATGGAATTTATGTAAATAACCCAGGAAATACACTGCTTAGAAGTACTAAGGAACTGAAGAGTAACTACATAGCTATGCATGAGAATAACTTACTGTAAAACAATTTCAAGTCTCTTAACTTTATTAAATCATGATGTGTATATTGTTGTTTAAAATCCACATCCATCATTTTGTATCATTCCATGTAAAATTCTAAAGCATTTTGATTTTCAAAATTACAGAACATAACATGGAGTTACATCTCAGTTACAGTATATTTATATTTTCTATATATTGTATGAGAACATTAGTTTCAAAGACTGTATTTTGTGCTTATGACATGAGAGAAATACATGGGAACACTTTTCAAATTTTGCTTTCCTATTTTCTTTAATAAATTATATATTACATATATGTATGTATTTTTAAATATTTATTTTTTAGTTATAATTGGACACAATACCTTTGTTTTATTTATTTATTTCTATGTGGTGCTGAGGATCGAACCCAGGGCCTGGCACATGATAGGGGAGCGCTCTATGCCTGAGCCACAACCCCAACCCAATAAATTATATTTTATCCTAAAATACCTAGATAATTAAATCCAAATCATTTGCCTGAGCATAATAACTAGGCATTGTGCCTATGTTGACTTAATCTGAAATCAGACACCCTAAGAAACTTCATGCAGAGGAGTTAACTTTGCAAGGTATCACTATGCAGTCTAGTTCTTTGCCATTTTCAAGCTTTACCTGCTAATCTTGCAAAGGGCTGGGATACAAAGCCCTTTAAGCCCTCTTTGAGGGATCAAAGCCTCTCCCTCGGCACTGCCTTTCAGTAGATTCATATCTCACTATGTGTTTAGGCTAAGCCTGGTTGATGCAGTAATCACTACCTGGAGCAGAGTGGGACACAAGGCTTCCTGAGGGACATCTGTACCCTCTCAAAGATCACTGAGTAATAACTATTTAGTTTAGCAATAACTATTTAGTTTATGCCTCAAAACTTGAAGGTAGAAATACTTGATTAATGATAAGTAGATTTTATCTGACTCCTTGAGATTATGCTTCTGTGTGCTAATATTTCTAATATATAGGTCAAGTTATAGCATTTCATAAATCAGTGTAGTCTTTGCTTTGTCCTAACTTCAAATAGAATAGACATGGGATATGATTGAGGAGTAAAAACATTTTATTTGAGATGGCCTCTATTAAGTCATCTTTCTCTTTTCATTTCTTTTATCAGAATACCAAAGGAAAATGCAAGGCCTCTTATTCTGTATGAAAAACACAAAGAAAGAAAGAGAAGGGGTTTTCTTTGTTGTTGTTGCTTGTTTGTAAATTTATTTATTTATTTTTAAAATGTCATATATGGGTACTTTTTTTTTTGCTATTTTCCAAGTTCTTGAGTTTCTCCACATTTTAAATATTTAAATTAAAATTTCAAAATTTTAATATTTTAAGTAAAGCCTCACAATGTTAGTACCTTCTTTTCTCCTTATCATGTACGGGAATGAGTGTCTGCACTTCTACCTTAATGATCTGACTCTTTAAAGGTGAACTTTAATCTTGTTCAATATTAGCAAGATAATTATCTCAATTCAATTCTCCAGTTCCCTTTAAGTCAGGGTCTAAACTTCCATAGTGCACTTATCTGTGAATTTCTATTATGAGGGAAGAGCTTCTGAGCACCTTTCATCTTTGCCAGCAAATCTAAAGCTTTTCTACCAGTGGATTATGGATTCAAACTTGGGAACAAGCTGTTTAAAAGCAAAGCAGTTTCACAGTGACAGCCCGATGCCTGTCTTATCTTCAAGGCCCTGGTGTTTTTTGTATTCTTAAAAACTCTTGGGCTGAGGAGCCTATAAAGTCAAATCCCCTTAAAGTGCTGCATCAGTGATTTCCCCAAACCCAAAAGGTTTAAATGGCCACCAAATCAAAGGTGTTTATTTTAGACACTTCAAATTTATTCTTCCCATTGATTTGTCCTAACATTTGGCTTTTAAATTTATAGTCTTTCATAAATTAGTTCCATCTCTACTTTGGTCAAGACTTAGACTGAGCATGTAGTAGACTTTGGTCTATTAAGCATGTAGACTTTGGTCTAGATTTAGTATGTACATACTTAGGTAGACCATGTTTGAGCTCAGGAGGCATAGCTCGGAATGCCCATGAATGTCCAACCATCTCTTTCCTTAATTTATTCAAGCTTCTTATGTCTAGTTTTATGAAGCAACTATCAATGTCAGTAACACATGAGACTTTAATTCCTTTTTTAGCTATAGTGTTAAAAAAAAAATCATAGGTACCTGAATCAGGAATGGTGGCACATAACTGTCATCGTAGGGACTTGAGTCACTGATGGAGAAAGATTGTGAGTTTGAAGCCAGTCTCAGCAATGTAGTGAGGGCCTAAGCAAACTGTCTTGAAATAAAGACTATGAAGAGCTGGGGATATGGCTTAGTAGTTAAGCACACCTGGATTCAACCCCTCTTCAGTACCAAAGATGAGAAAATAAAATAAAACTACATAATGAGAAAGCAATAAAATTCTGAACTTAATAGTGTGTTTAGCTTCTTTCATAGATGAAACCTCAAAAACTTAATGATTTTTACAGGAGATAATTATTTGTCTCCATTGGAACCCTGAAATAATAATAATTATTTTCTAATTACCAATAATGAGAACCTACTATATGCAGACACTGGGCTAAATGATTTGCATACATCATCTTAAAATGTCCTAAATACTTTGTCATGAAAATGAAAAAAAATAAGCCTAAGATTTACCTGTGTTTTGTTCTTCTTCCATCATTCTTAGTCTATTTTAAAATAATTAGAGCAGATCATATTCCACTCTGTTAACTTTACAAGGTGTTATAATGTATAGTCCTTTTTCTAGTTTCTTCTTTAAATCAACAATATTTTTAAGCAATGCTATTTGTATGGCACTCTGTTAGGTATATGGAGATTAAGACCTATGGGATCTAACAACTGATTCTAAACTAAATAGGTTAAATGGGAACAATATTGTTCTCTCTCTGGAACCCAGACAGAGATGTGAGACAATGCATCAGATCTATTCCATCATTCCTCATTAGACATCTGAATCTGAGTCATAATTCTGGGCAGTTGATTTTGACTACAGGCAAACAATAAATTTGGTTGGATTTTCATTTGAAGAAGTCATTTTCTCAAATTAGATTTATACCTCAACCTAACACACAAAATCAATTTAAGATGGACCAGAAATCCAAATTTATGAGCAAATATAAGTACTACATAAACATAGAATATCTTTACAATCTTTATGCATGAAAGGTTTTATCAAGCATAACATAAAATATAAAATTATGAAAAGGCTTAAGGTGTAAAACTCAGAAATTATGTTTCCTAAATAATTCTATACCTGGTTTTAAAAGGCAAAATACCACACTTCAATGAAATATTTTTAAAAAAATCAAAGGCTCATAATCACCGATACATAAAGAGTTCCCATTATTCACCAAGAAAAGAAACCGAAATTTTTAACTAAGCCGAAATAAAAAGTGAAGAATTCATGGATACTAAATGTACGGTGATATTTTTAACTTCAGTAGTGATCAGTGAAATTCAATGGAAAATAATATTTCATTTAAACTGTGAGAGTAAGGAGGAGGAGGGAAAAACTGACATGTAAAGTTCA